ATTTGCGAAACTCTTAGAGAATCGCAAATTTTTTTGCAAAATCTCTTAGAGATTCACCTTTATCTGCGTAACTCTTAGAGATTCGCCTTTATCTGCGTAACTTTTAGAGAATCGTAATTTTTTTGTGAAATCTCTTAGAGATTCGTCTTTATCTGCGAAACTCTTAGAGAATCGCAATTTTTTTGCGAAATCTCTTAGAGAATCACAAATTCTTTGTGAAATCTCTTAGAGATTTGCCTTTATCTGCGTAACTCTTAGAGAATCGCAAATTTTTTTGTGAAATCTCTTAGAGATTCACCTTTATCTGCAAAACTCTTAGAGAATCGCAAATTTCTTGCGAAATCTCTTAGAGATTCGCCTTTATCTGCAAAACTCTTAGAGAATCGCAAATTTCTTGTGAAATCTTCGCCTTTATCTGCGAAACTCTTAGAGAATCACAAATTTCTTTGCGAAATCTCTTAGAGATTTGCAATTATCTGCGAAACTCTTAGAGAATCGCAAATTTTTTGCGAAATCTCTTAGAGATTCACCTTTATCTGTGAAATTCTTAAAGAATCGCAAATTTTTTTGCGAAATCTCTTAGAGATTTGCAATTATCTGCGTAACTCTTAAAGAATTGCAAATTTCTTTGCGAAATCTTTTAGAGATTCGCAAACTATAAATAATCTTAAATTATGAGTCGCATGATTATATATTAATTCATGAATTAGGTAGTTTTAAATCTATAAATAGATATGCAGTTTTTTATAAATTATTTGAATTATTTAAAAATTTTATTATGTAATCTGTCCTACTTTAATATATTAAAAATGTTCCTCTAGCTATATTATATTAAATATTCTCATTGGTTCATTTTTTAATTTTTCAGCCGTTTCACCTCTTTCTATTGCAAAGGGTCCATATTATAATTTAAAAATAAGGCTATGTAACTTTAATTTTTCAGTTCATGTAATATTGAAATTTTATAATTAATCTAAAGATCTAGAATTTATTAATGATTATTTTTATTAATAAAAAGTTTATATATAAATATTATGACATTTAATTAGTCAATCTTTAAGATGTTTATTATGTAATTTTATTTAATAAAATTAACATATCAGATTTTGTTTAAAAAAACAATGAAAATTTACATAAATTTATCTTTATTTATATGATATAGAATATAATAATATATATAATAATATAAATAAAAAAACTTAAATATAAATAAAAAAAAAAATTAGGTGATCATATCAATTTTAAAATTTTATCTAAAAATTAAAAAATTTTTTTTTACCTGACCTAATCATATGACAATTATATTTTATTTTAAAATCATCTTAATTTTATTAAAATACCTATTATACATATAAAAATAAAGTTATAATTCTAAAGTTTAAAGGATTAGAAAGATTTACTATTAAAAAGAAATAAAAATAAAATTTTTGTTTGAAAATATATCAATTTTATATTTATTATTTAATTGGTAAGAAGCAGATTTTAAAGTAAAGTTTAACTTATCAAAATATTAGTTAAATAAAAAGTTTAAGCATAATGTATTATTTGGAAAGCTATATAAAACTAATAAGTAGTAATAAAAGAATTATAAATAAAATTACACTTTATGATCATATAATAAATTTTTTATATATAAACTTTTATTTGTTAAAAATTAAAAAAGTGATTTAGCTGGATGATATAAACTAAAAAATCAAGGTTGCATAGCCTAAGTATCAAATTTAAAATTATTAAATAAACTTGTACTTTTTATTTGATTGAATAAATAAATAAGTTATTAATTATATAAGAAAATAAAATTGTAGTTTATTTTAAACTTAATAAAAGTTTGATTAAATATTAAGTAAATGTAAATAAATAAGATAAATATAAGTAATAAAATATTAATTCTAGTTAATCTGAAATAAATTTAAAGCTTTATAACTAGATAATCAATAAAAAATTAGGATTAATTATAATTTATTTCTTTATTTATATCTTAAAGAAATAGGATATTATAATTTTTTATAAAGATTTAATAAAATTAAAATATTAAATAATTAATAATATATAATTTTTTTTAAAAAAAAATTATTATTTAGTAAAGTAAAAAATTATCTAAATAAATCAAAAAATTATTATAAAACTTTAATAAATTAATTACTAATTTTAAATTTGCAAAATCTTTTAAATATGCAATATTTTCAATATAAATGGAATATAAATATATTAAAATTATACTATTAATTAAAAAAATAAAAATAAATAATTATGTAAAATAATTAACAAAAAAATTTATTTAAAATTATCCTTATCTAACTTTTAAAAACTTTAATTTAATTTAAGTTTTTTTTGTAAAATTATTTTTAAAATTAAATTTAATTTATTATATAAAATTATTTTATATTTTTGAGAAAAAAAAAAAAAATAAATAAGATAAAAATAAATTTTTTTTTAGTAACAATTTAATTTTTAATAAATTTAAAAAATAACAATTTTTAAATTTTTAATAATAATGATATAAAGATCATTTTAAAAAAATCAGTAAAATAATTTTTATAAATAATATTAATTTAATAATAATTTAAGTAATTTAATTAGTATTTATTAATTATTTAATATATAATTTTCTCTAATTATCTATAAATTATTTAAATCATAAAATTAGTATAATAATCTTAATCTTTAATTAATTAACAATTTATTATATAAAATTTATATAAGTAATTAAAAAATTCAAAAAATTCATTAATATTTAATTAAATTACTATTACTTTCTATTATAGTCTTAACTATTTTTAATATACTTTTAATTAAAAATATAAAATTTTAGATTTAAATTCTTTTCTAAATAATTATTAATTTTTTAAGATTTTAAAATAAGTTTTTATATATAAAACTTTTTAATATAATATATAGAATTTAAAATTTTATCAGATATTTAAATTAAAAATTAAGCCTACTATTATCTAACTGTCAGTTAAGCAGATTAAAACACTTAACCAATCAAGTAACAACTGAGTTTAGCTTAAACTCAAATTTGTTTAGAAGAGTCTTTACTTAAATTCTTAAATTACAGATTGAGAAAGAGTGTTAAATGTTTTTTTCTAAAATCTTGTCACAGTGTTCTTTTAGAATTCAAGTTTTTAAGTCAGAAAGTATAGAGATTTTATTGACTTAATCTTTAAAACTTCTTAAATTACTTTAAAATTAACCAAAAATATTATACTAATACAATGGTTAAATAAAAATACTAATAAAAGGGATTAAGCTTTTATTCTGCTAAAATTTATAACTTTAAGAGTTCTATTTGTATAAGTCTCTTGTTAGCAAATAAAGAAAATATATTTAAATCTGTCTTTTTTAACAGAAATTTTTAAATTCAAGGATGGGTTTGTATAACAAAACTTTATTGAATTTAAAATAATAAGGTGACTCCTCAAGAAATATAATTTATATCTTTATAAATTTGCTTTTCAAGAAGTTACTTTTACATGGTAAATCTTAATGACTAAAGATAGCATTACAACTAGTTGTAACCAGTAATAAATAAGCATCACAAGGTTGTAATTGCAATATTAATAAAAATTGAGTTACAACTAGTTGCAACTAGTGACAAATAAGTATCACATAGTTGTAACTAGTTGTAGCATCATCTTTATTAATGATTATAATAAAATTTAGACTAATTCCTATCTTATTGCAGAATAATTATGTAATAATTCCTTCATCAATGATTAATGTTCGTGTCATATTAAAGTAATGACTACCTAATTATTTGTAATAACCCTATAATTAATGACTATATAATTTCATAAAAATGTTTTATTATTCTATTATTATTATTACATTTTCTCTCTTCTTTAGAGTTTCTCTTTAGTATATTTATTTTAGGCTTGTATCACATATCATTATGGCTAATTATTTCATTTCTCTTCATTGATTATTTTATTTTAGAGATTTGTGTAACATTTAGGTTGATCATTATTCAGTCAATTTCTATGATTCTTTTTTTTTGCCATATCACATGATCTTCTTATTCCCGTAAATCTCTTGTATTATACTACTTTTACAAAATATTTTCATAATCATAACATCTTATTTTTTTTGTTTTACTATTAAATTAAATAGTTTATATCAAAATTTTTATATAATATATGCTAAATTCAATAATAAATATTATTTTAAATAATTAAAATGGGATTCATTATTTTATATAATTGAATCTTATTTAAAATTCTGATTTTTCTTATATAATATTATTTAATTTTTATATCATAAATAATAAATAATTAAGATAAAGAATATCTTTAATATTTATTTATTATACTTTCTTTTAAAAAAAAACAAATTTAGTAAGTTAATACTTTTCAGATATTAAAGATATCATAGCTATTAATAAATATTTAAAAATAACATTTAAAAGGCATTTTTAGATAGCTAAAAGTGATCTGTTAGAATAATGTTAATTAATTAGACAAATTTGACTTATAAAACTGGACTTATAAAGGTGGCTCAAACTGGTAACGTTGGCTAATTAGACCAAATTGGACTAACTTGGACTTATAAAAATCTGGTTAGGAGAAATCTACGACATGCTAAAATTGGTAATATAGCATTCATGGAAGCAAAATTTCTGATGAAATTATCAGATTTATTAGATAGATTGGATTCTGATAAAGAAAATGGGAAAAGAATTGGATAAATGTATTGATAATGATAATTAGCAGTGATGTTGATTATAATACGAAAATTAATGATTATTTGTATATAATTTCGTAAGTATGCTTATTTTCGGGTTATAAGGGTGCTTATTTTCGGGTGCTACTTATTATCGGAACTATTCGGAACAGATTAATTCACATGATCTAATTCCATAAAAGAGATCATCACTTTTTCTCCTTTTCATTTTTCTTTTTCGACCAAAAACTTTTTTTAAATCAGTGTTGATTATTCAATCAAAAAAAAATTAACAAATAATATTTCAATACCAAAGATAATTCGAAATAAAAAAAGTTACGATGAAGATTAAAGATTTTGAACTAGAAATTTTGGTGAATGATATACCACTTAAAGAATATAAAATATCCGATTCGGATCTTGGAGTAATCATTTATTTTATTTTATTATTTTTGTTTGGTTATTTTTTTTTTTTTTTTATCTTTTTTTATCTTATCTATTTATGCTCTATATACGTAATTTTAATATATATAATATATATATATTTTTTTATATAGCTAAGCGTAAAAAGAGCGCTAAAGTCATACGCGTTTGATAAAATAAAAAGTCAAAAGTACATAAGGTACTTAGTCTATATGTATATCTATATTCACATTTTTATATCAAAGTCTAACCTTTTTTTCTCATTTTATAGCGCTTCGTCCACCTTTGTCGCGGTGCCCGAACCCGGAACCTCTTACAAGATTAGATATTCATCGGCTATAGCAACTGATCATGAGCCAATCAAGGCAAAAGTTTACATAGATGGACAAACTGATAAATGCTACACACACCTTGTTACCTGTTTATCGTTCTCCAAGGAATGTTTTTATAATCAAGATTTTACCAAGAAATACAAATTAATATTTGATAAAACGGAATGGACTGAAATGGACCAATCGACAGTCACACCAAAAAAGGCAAGCTATGGAGATTTGGGTGTGATCTCGGTTTATTTTTATCAAGCGAGTTTTAAGAAACGAAAAGAGAGTAAGAGATTGAGGAAAACTTGTTCTGAAGATTTAAAACAAACCAAAGTCACCGAGAATAAAAGCAATATAGATATTACCTTTACTACAAAATTTGACGAAGGGGAAGCTTTTAATCAGCCTGAACTTAATGAAAAAACGTTAACAAAAATGGATAAGGAACCAATCGCTGTACTCCACATTAATTATCGTCCTACCTATTGGTTCGTTGCAAGAGGTATTTCAATTCAACACGATCTTGCGACGGTGAATAATAACGCCACTACATCCACAACTGCGAACGAACTGGATGACGTTGTCATCAAACGAGAGCCTGAGAACGTTCAGATTAAAGTTGAGGAGAGTATTGTAGATGTTCCAATCAAAGTTGAGAACATCATGGATGTTAAAATAAAAGTCGAGGAGGAGGTTCCAATTAAAGTTGAAAAAACTAATAAACGTAAATACAAAGTAGTAAAAGGGTAGAAATTTTAAGAAACAATGTTATATCAAATAAAAAATTATTCTATATGCATCTCATTTCAATTTTGTACGTTAACTAATAATTGTTTGAATAAAAATCTAAAATTATCATCTGATGAAGATCCAACCTTTCATGGACACAATAAAAAAAAAAACAGTGTCCTGAAACTGTTCAGAACTGCGTTCTGAAGGATATCTTTCTCAAAAATGTACATTGCATGGCGGAATTAATTACAGTATGTTTAACTGAAACAACTTAATTTCCGTGTAACTATGCTTCGGGAAGGTCATTTTCTATAATAAATTAGGATGCTAAAATTAATCAGGAATATTGGAAATTTTATTAATTTATTTATTTGAGCCAATGGATACAATAAGAAATGAAAATTATTGACAAAAATGGAACACGATAGTGTCCTTTAAAGGAAATTTGATTTAGCACATTTAGCACAACATATCCGTGTAATTTTACTATACATTTAATTAATCCGCTAAAACTAAGAACCTTTAATATAAAGCCATGGACATTTAGCTTCTCTCTTTTTAAATTTTTCATAAAATTTCAAAAACTTCAAATTGCAATAAGATGAATTACGGTACAATCCCCAATGTGGTTTCAGCCGACGGCAATTCAAGCGGCCCCAACAAAAAATCAACATGTACTTATATTGCCGAATTCCTCGAATCCCGTGCAATGCAATGGATTATCTTAATTTTGGTAACCGTGGACGTGCTCGCTCTAATGGTCATAACTATAATCAAATTATTTCATCCGGATGACACCTCCCTCATAGGACTCTTATCAAACTTGATATTCGTTATCAACACTGGTTTTCTAGTTGAGATGCTTCTAAGATTTATCGTATTTGGCCCAACCTATTTTTACAATGGCAAGTATGGCCCTTTACATGGTTTGGACATGTTGATAGTCCTTGCAACCTTCGGTTTTGAACTCCTCTTTGAGGATAAAGATAAAGAAGTGGTCGAATTATTATTGTTGTTACGGTTTTGGCGTATAATAAAGATATGGAATGTAGAAAAGATTGACCACAACGAATTACCAGAACGTCCTGCTTTTCATGTTATATTCGTTATGGATCGAGGGGGCTCGATGGGTGGTAAGGATCTTGAACGCACTCATGTATTTTGGTTAAATTTAACGCGATCTCATAAACATCTAAATATTTGCAGCTTCTGATATCACACCGCAGAAAAATTCTCGTAATTACAACTACTTACGATCCTTTCATAACAATCGTCTTGGTGCTGCGTACGATGCGGTTTGTTCATTCATGGAAACTCGATTGCACACATATCAACAATCCGTAGGATCTCCGTTGATTGCTAAACAGGATATGGTATCGCTTGTCATTTTCGATGATAAAGTAGATGTAGCCTTCGAAAACAAAAGCTTGGACGTCAATTTACTCTTTGACAAGATGCTTGAATATAAAGCCACAAAGTACTTCTTTTATTTTCTGATGTTTGGAATCGTTTTATCAGATGATATGTTAACATGTTCCAATTTATTTCTACTTTTCAGAGGCCGTTCCGATTATATTGTCGCCATTAATAAAGTAGACGAAATTGTCACCAAACATTTTGATGCCAAAAGGTTAACTTAATTTTGAATATTTATTTAAACAATTGTATCATTTGTTTACCTTGAAATCCGATATTTTGCGTAGGTTAAACGTTGTAATCTTTCTCTCGGATGGGGAAGTGGAATTGCCCAAACTTAACAACTTGGACTCGGTTTGTAAACGCAATGCCGAAAGGGGGTAATATATCATCTTTCATGAATCTTATAAGAGTTCATTATATATCATTTATTTACCAAATCTTATTCACCATTCTAGTTCGTCACTATATCTCTATACTGTACATATTGGTCCGGATACCGGACACTACGCATTGGAAATGATGTCCGACGTCGCGAAAACTTATAACCCACCGGACCACTTATCTTCTCAGGTTTCAATGGTCATGGACGAGGTTATGTTAAAAAACCTTCTCATTAGGATGGCGATTGTTTTACAAGATCAAAAGGCGGTAATGCCAGAGAAACGTTGGTGGATAGTTCAGGTTACGAGAAAGCTGTGTGGCGCTTCTAGCTGAGCTATTTGCTCTTACTTTTTTAGACGTTGAAATTATTACTCCCGAGCTTTTTTGCGGATTAGATAAATAATATTTTTTCTGTAAATGATGATTAGAACAAATTCATTTTAACCACTTCTGAAACTACCGAAAGAATCCTGCTTACCATATAATTTCTTGTATATTTAACAAAATCATTAATAAATTTATTAATTGATAATATCTTGATAGGATTTTATAATGGTTAAAATTTTATGAGAACAAAAAAAAAAATTGAATGCATTAAATCTTATGTGGTTGGCAGAGCAACACAGAATAATTTTGGTATAAAATTCACCGGGGTAGTCGAAGCGTTTACCGCAGCTGAAACCGGGATTCGCTTGCGTCTCCGATGCACCAATTTAACCGGAAGAATCGTCCTTCCATAAACATCACATGGAAAATTTCGCTGGTACAAAATATTTCAATCTTACCTTTTGAGACCTTTGGTTAAAAAGACACATAATTTACGAATACATCCCACTTGAAGCATACACGGGTAAAAAATAAATCCGATGTGATGGTTAAACCAGCGCAGTAAATTTGTTTTAAATTATAAAGTTTGTTTTTACATTTTCTAATTGGGGCATAATTTATACAAATCAGTTTGAATATTGGTTAACTTACAACAGGTCATTTTATGCATTTCGCTTTAAAAAGCAATGCGATACAATTGTAATAAATATGTCAAGGTGATAGGTTATTTAAAAATGTTGCCAATGGATTTTCATGTTGAGCATTCAAGAACATAAGTCCTCCTCTCATTGCCAACCAGAGAAGAGTCACCAGGGTTTCGTTCCATACTCGAAGTGTGTTGGTTTGGGCCCAACTGTTCCAATTTTGATTATCCCCAATAGATATTTCAAATGGAACATTAGCTAAAGTCAATTTAGCAGGTGCTCCATATCCAGGTGCAGGTGACCGTAAACACATATTGAGTAAGCTGTTCGCAGAAAAAGTGAATACAATCCAGATACCTTATAGACGTTCCACTCTGATATCTTACCACTTTTCCAAATATGTTGAGGTATCCTAGTGAGGCAGTTCGAACAGTGGTTTCTTCCTCAATTTCTTTCCAGAAGAGGCGTACAGCTTGTGTCTTAAAAGGAAGACAAGATTCAGTACAGAAATGAAGGGGCTATTTTCGTAATCCAGCTTCATGTAAACTAGCAATCATCATAAGAGCAACCATCGGATGCTCTTGGTAAATTAAAACCAGAACGTTGCAGCAAGCAAAAAAGGTAATAATACTCATACCTCGAACGCATTAAAGGCGATCTCCGCATTTTGTACATTAAACCTTCGCTGTTTCTTCTAACTCAGCTAAATACCAACTATGCTCAGTCTGGGGAATTTTCTATAAAAGAAGCATCTTTCTTTTGACAACAGGTACTTGTGAAGAAAATCATCACAACTTATTTTTTCAGCAGATGTCTTTCTTTCTTCTTTTGCGTTCTTTTATGAGAAACGTTAGAAAAGCTTTTATGACACGCAGAATCAAAAATAATTAAAAATTTTACCAAATCCCTAGGTTAAAAAAACACCTAACGTTTCATACACCTTCTATTTTAGTAACTAAGATAAAAACACCTTTGTTCATTAACTTTTTTTCTGGATTATTAGAACCTTTCGATACCTTAAACAGAACTAAGGAATTGATTTGGTCGTTAAAAAAAATAATCACAGTATCATGTGATTTGGGGCGCAGTAACGTCTATTTTTATTTTTTATAACCGCAACTACTACATGTTCAATCTCATCCTTGCTTAAATTATGTAACATTATCCACACTGATTATTAAAAAAGTTTATTAATCTAGCCTTTTTGTATTCTTTCGAAGTATATCCTCAGAAATCTTCTAAAGAAGCTGATCCCTAACTTTGTTATTAACAAATATCTTAGCAGTCTGTTTTGGATGATTAATTTATAATGTCCTAAACGATCCTTAAATGTTTTCCCAAAATTATCATAGCTATTAATGAGATTTTAGTTTGATTTTTTATTTTGATCCTTAGCATTAACAATTTTAATATATAGGTTACAAAAATTAATCAAGTTTGTACTTGATTCTAAACGGATATAGATTGCTTACTTACTCATTAGAAGAAGATATCAGAGATACCAGTATAAGCGCTCTTATTGCATATGAATCCTTCTTTCCATCAGTCTTTTTAGCTTTTTATTAAAGATTCTTTAGAAGAAGCTGATGATTCACTATATGTTTTTTTCTATGCTATACTTGAATCATATTCTACTGAAATTTTCAAATTCTATTTTGATGGGCAGGTAGAATATAATTTCATGGATTATCAATGCAATCATAATACACATTATGCTTGCAGAGTAAAAACAGCTAGCTTTAAAAATTATATAGAAATTTTTTCAAAATATTTCTCACATTTAGAGCATTAGATTTAATTGCTAAAGAGTTTTTTAAAATCAAGTTATTCATATTTTCAGAATTTTCAGATGTAATGCTAACAACTATAATAAAGCTAATTGACTGGATAGAAGTTTTTTAGTAATTCTTGACTTATAGTTAATGTCTTTTTAATAGTTTTGAATGAACTTTGTTTTTCTTTGTCTAATAATTCTAGTTTATTTATAAAAATTACATTTGCATTCTTATTAGAGTTGAATTTTCTGAATTTACTGACTTAGAGATAGTATTTCATCAGTAGTTGTAAATTTGTCTTATAATACTGCAGAATAGATAAAAATTTCAATCTTTTGATTTTATAGTTCCAATTTGAATATGTAAGATTGGCTTATTTTTTCATTACATTCAATGTTTTTATTAGGTTTTATATAAAAATATCTAATTTAATCTGTATTATAAATATTTTTTTATTCTATTTATTTTATAATACTTATAATTTTAATATTTTTTATAAAAGTGTTTAAAAAAAACACTATTTGCTTTTTTAAAAAAAACTTACTTTATTTTAAATTTATAAATTCAATCCATTTTCACATTTAATTTGATTTTTAATATTTGTAAATTCTAAGCCTTTTTGTTGTAATATCATATTTGTTAATAGAATTCCAGCTGTTATTGCTTGTAAGGTTTAAATTTGCATAACTTTATCAAGTATTAGAAATTGAATTGAATGTTATTTATATATTTGCAAACTTACTTGAATATTTAACCACTTTTCCTATAATTTCATAATAATTGTTCTATCAATTTAATTATATTCTGTAATTAAAAAATATAATGCAACATTTGCTTGAGCTACATAGTTAAAATTTTATAAAAAAAACGCGTGTATCACTCATAAATATCACGTGATGTGATTATATAAAGGGAAAATCTTTTTAATTATTATATGACTATATAATAGTCCAAAAAAAAGGGTTAAAACCGGATTGACCAATAAAGATTTTCCCCATTTCTATTGATTGTCGTCAATATATTAAATCTTGTTTATTTATTTATGGAGACTGATTCAAAGCAAGAGCAATTTGGAACATGTCTTGATTGCGGAGCATCCAAAACCGATTATTGTTGGTGCGAAATATGTGATAATGCAAAATTAATAGCAGAATTCGATAATTGGACCAGTGGAGACGAAGAAATTGATGAGTTTATTCGAGATACTCAACGAAATGCTAAATCATATACAGCATATTTAGAATGGATTCCTTTCAATGATTTTGAAGATGTAAAAGATTTAGCTAAAGGTGGATTCGGTACTGTATATCAGGCACTTTGGAAAACTGGTGAAAGAATTGATGATCCACTGGATGAACATTTAACCCCGTATAAAAGAGAACGAAATGAAAGAATTCCAGTTGCACTTAAACGACTTCATAATTCTAAATCTGTTTCAAAAGAATTTTTGGATGAGGTATATTGTAACTTAAATTTTTCTTGTTCTTTTAGATAATAAAAATATTAAAAAAAATATTTTTTTTTTTTTTTTTTTTTTTTTTTAGCTTAAAGCACATCATAGATGTGCAATATATGGAATGCGGTTTCTCAAATGTTATGGAATTAGTAGACATCCAGAAAGAAATGATTTGGTCATGGTTATGCAATTCGCTAAAGGTGGTAACCTTCGTCGATATTTACGAAATAATCCAGATCTTGAATGGCAAAAAAAATTAGACATATTGCACTTTATTGTTCATGATCTTGAAGCACTTCATAAGGCAGGATTAGTACATAGAGATTTTCATAGCGGAAACGTTATGATGCGTGGTACTTGGGCATATTTAAGTGACCTTGGATTAAGTAGTCCAGTTAAGAGAGACGATTCAAAAGAACTTGTTTATGGTGTTATGCAATATATTGCTCCGGAAGTTTTAAGAGGAAAACGTTATACACCTGAAGCTGATATTTATAGCTTTGGTATGATTCTTGCCGAGATAGCATATACAGATAAAGCCTTTTTTCATGCGAAAAGAGATGAAACATTAGCCATAGATATTATTAAATATAATAGACGTCCTAGAGTACCAGAAGGAACACCAAATTGTTATCGTGATTTAATGGAAAGGTGCTGGGATGGTAATAAGGATAACCGACCTAAAGTTCATAAAATCAAATCCATTCTGGATCAATGGCGTCATAACCCTCCCTATAGTGTTCTTCAAGAATTTAGAGAAAGTGACAAATTACCTAAGGTGCTTCCTTCTGATGAAGAAATAGATATGAATGAACCTTCTCACAATGCTGCTCCTATACATACTAGGGCGATTAACACAGCTATCGATACTTCTGTTAGAAATCATGACGAATTTCAAGGAAAATCTAATTTATATACTGGAACCTCTATTGTAGATCCGGGGATTAATTAATAATTATTTAACTTAATTTAAAATAATAATTTTAAAACAAATTTCTTAACAAATAATATTTATTAATATAAAAATATAAAATTATATTTTTTTTTATTTTTTCAAAAATAGATTTAATCATGATGTTTATTAAATAAATACAAATAATATTTATTAAAATTATAAATAATTTAAATTATTTTATAAAATTCTTTAATTAATTTATTAAATATTAAAATTTTATTATAAAAAAAGGTAAAAATACTGTACATTATTTAATTAGTTATTATATTTTTTATAATTTATTAAATATTAAAATATTATTAAATCTTTCTAATATAAAAATATTTAGTTTAAATTAAATATTAACTTAAATCTTTTATAAATTTTAAATTTAATAATTAAATTAAGAAAAATTTAATAATATTTGATTAATTTTAAAAATAAAAATTTATAATACTTGATAAATATATTTTTATGATTAAATTATTTTATTTATATTAAATATTTTTGCTTAAACTTTTAATAGATCTTTTAAACTTAAAATCTAAAATCTAAAATCTTAAAATCTAAATTAAATTTTAGATTTGAAAAAAAAAAATTTTTTATTTTAAAATTATAAATTAAAATATATTTAAATTAAAAATAAGATTATAAATGATATTATATCTAATTGCAATAAGTGATAAATAAGCCAATGCATTTCTTAAAACTTGATAAACTTAATAACGCATAATAATTATTTTTGATCAATTAATAAAAATAGTTGATACCTATATTTTAAATATTTATATCTGTATACATGTCTTATAATAATACTATTTAGATTTATATAAGTTTTGATATAATTTTATTTTTTTAAATTTTGCAAAATTTTTAATAAAATTTAATTCTAATTTTATTAAGTTTTATTATTTATAACTTACATTATTTAATAAAAAAACTGAAATTTTAAATTTACAATTACTTTATAATAATTATGTTAAATTATATAAAAATTTTTTATGTGAAACTAAAAATCAACTAATTTAATAATATAAAATTAATAAAAGATTTGTTTTTCATAATTTTAAATAATAGGCTCTATTTCATTAACTTTATAATATTCATAAAGTATTATTATTTCTTAAACTATAAGTATAAAATTATTTCTAAAACATTTTAGAAAACTTAAAATATTTTGATATTTAATGATTATAAAAAAAATAAAATAAATTTTTAGATTTATTATTTTATAATGTATCTAATAATAGTATTACTAAACTTTAAAATTAACAATAATTTATTATCTAATAATTACAAAATATAACACTTTCTAGTGAATATTTAACCAAGAATTTTTTTGTTAAAAACATGTATATTCAAAGGTGGCTATGGCTTAATCTGCTAATAACAAACAAAAAATTCCTTTACAAACTTCTTTCTCTCTTTATTTTTTTTTCAAACTCTTTTATTCTAAAAAAACAGATTTTGTTAGTCTAAACAGTGGTATTTTTTTGTTAAAATATTTTTTTCTTTACTTCTTTTAGCTGTTTTTTCTGTATTTTTCTTTATTCTTTTTATTTATAAAAGTGAGTATTAGGAGGATATTCCAAATAATAATCAGAATCAATAATAACTTTAGATCAACTAATCACATGTGATAATTTTTCTAATTACCTTTCTAAATGAGCACATTCATTTTAGATTTATGATATCATAGAACTTATTGATCTTAACAAGATTTTTCAGTTTCTTACAACTGTATAATTTGGGTTCTGTACAGTTCCTATCAGTGGCTGTAATTTAAATTAATAGACATTTTAGCACAAAAGTTTGAGAGTATCAAAGAACTTCTAATAGAACTTAGTAATATAAATGCTTCTATGCTAAAAAATCACTATAACTAAAAATTAATCAGGCAATTTAACTAGAAACTTGTTGAAGTCAGATTTTTTATTAGCTTCTTTTTTGATTTAACAATTGTATTAAATTTAAATTTAGGATAGGAATTATTGTTAAGAAAAAGTAAGAAATGTAATAATAATCTAGTTATCATGTGTTAATAAGAATTCTTTTAGTAATTAATTTTTAAATATAGTAGGATGATCAGTTAGTCGAAGGCTAGTAAATTTTAACTTACAAGAACATTTTAGGTAGTTCAATTTATTTTTATCATATCTTTAAAAAAAATAATAATTATAAAAATATAAAATTTATTTTATTAGATTTATCACATTAAAACCTATTAAATAATAGTATTTTATATTTTTGAGATTGATAGAGTTTAAAATTTTAATATTTTTTATAATAATTTATGATTTCTTTATCTTTAAAAAATTACTAGTTAATTATATTTTATTTTAATTTTTACTTGAAAAATATCATAAAATTTATTATAAAAGTATTAACTTTTTTAATAATATATTTTAAATATTTAAAATAATTAAAAATGATTATAATTAATAAATAAAGTTGCTTACAAATTTGTAGGTAAAATAATTGAAAAGATAACATTTTTTTATTCTTTTACCATAAAATTTTATAAATTATTGAGATTCTAAATATTTATCTTTCTATATTTTTATTAATAATTACTTAAAAATTTTCTATTAAATTTAAATCAGAATTGTTTAAAAATTTCTAAGATATTATTTTGAAGAAATTTCTTAATAAAGTACTTATATACTTTAAATTATTATATAATTTTGAAGAATTTAAAATAAAATTTAATTTATGATACATAAGTCAACTGCAAAAAAATGTTGATTATCTTTAAGATTAACAGTAATAATAAATATTATTTTTTAAGACACTTTAGAATCTTATATTTCTTAAGTAATCAAATTTTAAATTATAGTCAAATATGTATTAAATAATAATAAAACGTAAAGAATATTAAATTAGTTTAATTTTTTTAGAAGTTTTAGATAAAAATTTATATTATAAATCCTTTCTTAAGATTAGTAAAAAACATAATGTAGAAATAATAAAACTGAAACTTCTAACTTATATTTTATTTAAATAAATATGAAAATATTAGTTTTTCTTCAAAATACACAATTTATTATTATTATACCAAAGGTTATTCTAGTTCTTTATAGTATTAGAGTTTATTTATAAACAAAAGATCAAACGAGTATTATTTTTAATAATTTTTTCTCTGCTATAATTACATTTTATTATTGACTTTTTAATAATAATACCAGATTTTTTAGATCTCTTATTATAGAATATGATAAAATAAAAATTAGCAAATAACTTTTAAAAGAAATTACTTTTTATTTATTTTATTATTTTATTAAAAAGTTTTTGTTATTTATATATGGAATTGGTATTTCTTTTGAAAAATATTTGTATTTTGCAGGTTTAGAATTCAATTAGCAAAAAAAAACTTTATTTATATAAAAAATAAATGAAAAAATTCAATAATAAAAATATTTCAAGATTTTAAATTGCAATTTACGCATTTTAAAAATAGTTCTAATGATATATAGGAAAGGTTAATGTATTATAATAGTATAGAGATATTGATATATTTAGAATTAGCTATTCTCAAATTTAAAATACTACTTATATCTAAGTGTTAGCCTGAAGAATAGCATATTATTAATAAAATGCAAGTCTTATGAATTATCATTTGTGAAAATTTACATTAGTTTTTATTCAATAGAATGAGTTTTTATGATATAATAAATTGAAAATTGTTATTAAAATTATAACTTTTTTAAAAAAAATTTATCCACTTAATTATATATTTAAAGAAAGAGAAATGAGAGCATGATGAGTAATGTTAAATTATATTGAATATATTAATATTAAATCTTATTTAAAAGAAATATTATTAGTAAAATAATTTTTAAAAATTAACTATTTGATTTTTATAAAAATTATAGCAATTACTTATATCATAAATTTTGATAATATAAATTTAAACATGATCTAATAATTCTACATATGATTATAAAATCTTATATTTTTTGTATGTGCTTGAATTTTTGCATTTATTTTCTAGTTAATATTATAATGATGGTGATACTTTTTAGAACTGTTTTCATTAAACATTAAAAGCTAATAAAAAAACATAATAGAAAAAGAAAAATTCTTTCTATTATAACAAAAAATTTTTTCTTATAATATTTTAATAAAAAAATTGAAAATAAATATAAAACCTAACAAAAAAAAATCTAAAATATACTGAATAATATATGTCTTCATAATTCAATTAGATTATATAAGATACAATTCTTGAAGCAAAAAAATATGCAAGGATAAATAATTCTAGTTGTATAATAATAGAAAAATCTGTTAGAAAAGTCAAAAGAATTACTTCTAAATAACAAAAACAATTTGATTTTTTTTCAAAATAAAGCTCATATATTATGAGTTCTTATAAAACAAATAGCAAAACAGAAAAACCAGTTATTTATTTAAAAAATACAAAAAATATATTGTGAAAAAAAATTCAAAAATTCTTTTTCAAGTGAAATTAAACTTATAACTTTTTATACTTAACTAATGAAACAATAATATATTTATAAAAAAATTTTGGAGAATTGTATTCTATATATAACATATATGGATATGAAATATTTGAAAATATTATGAATTTAATAAAAGAAAAAATAAAATAATATAGAATTGCAAGTATAGTTATTCTTTATTAAATTATAGAAAATTCAATATACATATAGTCAATCCTTTCTAAATGCATCCCTTTAGAACTATAGTGAAATTTTAAAAAATGTATATTTAAAAAGGATATGCATTTAAAGAGAAAATTTCTATATGAATTCTATATGATTAGAATTGAACAAGAGTATACATTTAGAGAGAAAATATATATTGTATGTAATTAGAGAGGATACATCTAGAGAGGATTAACTGTACTAATAATAAATAATAAATTTATAAGATATTTTTCTTAATACTATTATCTTTTAAAATGCTATTTAAAAAAAGAATATAAAAAACTTTTAGTTGTAACTGGCTATTTAATTATATCTTATAATTTATATATAAATTATTACTTATTGTATACA